AGTCGGTTAAAAACAAAGCATCCAGTGGGCATACCTTATTTATTTAGACCACACTATTCGAGTTATGGGGGGGATACCTCATTTATTTAGACAATACTATTAGAGTTATGGAGGAATTCCTCATATATTTAGACAATACTTTTAGAAATATTTTTTCTTTTCTTAAGAAAACAAAGGGACAGAAGTGTAAAGTCCATTTCTTGAAACTTCATATTTGATATTCTCTATGGTTTACCTAACTCTAAACTACTCTATGGCTACCTGACTCTAAACTACTCTAGGGTTTACTTAACTCTAAACTACTCTATGATTTACCTAACTCTAAACTACTCTATGGTTTACCTAACTTTAAACTACTCTATGGTTTACCTGACTCTAAACTACTCAATGGCTACCTGACTTTAAACTGCTCTATGGTTTACTTAACTCTAAACTACTCTATGGTTTACTTAACTCTAAACTACTATACGGTTTACCTAACTCTAAACTACTCTATGGTTTACCTAACTCTAAACTACTCTATGGTTTACCTAACTCTAAACTACTCTATGGCTTACCTAACTCTAAACTACTCTATGGTTTACCTAACTCTAAACTACTCTATGGGTTACCTAACTCCAAACTACTCTATGGTTTACCTAACTCCAAACTACTCTATGGCTTACCTAACTCTAAACTACTCTATGGTTTACCTAACTCTAAACTAATCTATGGTTTACTTAACTCTAAACTACTCTATAATTTACCTAACTCTAAACTACTCTATGGTTTACCTGATTCTAAACTACTCTATGGTTTACTTGACTCTAAACTACTCAAGGGTTTACTTAACTCTAAACTACTTTAGAGTTTACCTAACTCTAAACTACTCTAGGGTTTACCTAACCCTAAACTACTCTAGAGTTTACTTAATTCTAAACTACTCTATAGTTTACCTAACTCTAAACTACTCTATGGTTTACTTAACTCTAAACTACTTTATAATTTACCTAACTCTAAACTACTCTATGGTTTTCCTGATTCTAAAATACTCTATGGTTTACTTAACTCTAAATTACTCTACTTTACCTAACTCTTAACTACTCCAGGGTTTACTTAACTCTAAACTACTCTAGGGTTTACCTAACTCTAAACTACTCTATGGTTTACCTAACTCTAAACTACTCTAGGGTTTACCTAACTCTAAACTACTCTATGGTTTACCTAACTCTAAACTACTCTATGGCTTACCTGATTCTAAACTACTCTATGGTTTACCTAACTCTAAACTACTCTACGGTTTATCTAACTCTAAACTACTCTATGGTTTTCCTGATTCTAAACTACTCTATGGTTTACTTAACTCTATATTACTCTATAGTTTACCTAACTCTAAACTACATTATGGTTCACCTAACTTTAAACTACTCAATGGTTTACCTAACTCTAAACTACTCTATGGTTTACTTAAATCTAAAATACTCTATAGTTTATCTAACTCTAAACTACTCGATGGTTTACCTGACTCTAAACTACTCTATGGTTTACTTAACTCTAAACTACTCGATGGTTTATCTAACTCTAAACTACTCTAGGGTTTACCTAACTCTAAACTACTCTATGGTTTACCTGACTCTAAACTACTCTATGGTGTACCTAACTCTAAACTACTCTATGGTTTGCCTAACTCTAAACTACTCTATGGTTTACCTGACTCTAAACTACTCTATGGTTTACTTAACTCTAAACTACTCTACACTATACATAACTCTAAAGTACTCTATGGTTTACCTAGCTCTAAATTACTCTATGGCTTACCTAACTCTAAACTACTCGATGGTTTACCTAACTCTAAACTACTCTAGGGTTTACTTAACTCTGAACTACTCGATGGTTTACCTAACTCTAAACTACTCTAGGGTTTACTTAACTCTAAACTACTCGATGGTTTACCTAACTCTAAACTACTCTAGGGTTTACCTGAAATATCCTGTATTGAGTTTGAAGTGTCTCCATCCGTCCACAAAGTCCTGGGTTCTCCACTAGAGTGTTGAGATATATTAAACTTAGATCTGGAACTAGAGATTAAACCAGAGTTCTCATCAAAACTCTCCAAGGGTTTAAACTTATTGTTCAGGGAATTAATAGATATAAAGTTAGTAAAGTTTTTGTTAGTTTTATCATCAGTATCAATAGATGCAACGCTAGATTCGCTGTTTGTAGCATTGTTGATGGAAGCTTCTTTAGTAGCTTCCTTCGGATTAGTTTTAAAATCTTCATTTATTTTGTTAGTTTCATCCTTAACAGTAGCATTGATTTTAGCAGTGTTTTTGTTATTTTCATTGTTAAGAGAAGCATCCATAGTTTTGTTAGTAGTTTCATTAGATTCTTTAGTAGAGGCAGCATTGATATTGTTGTTAGTAGCTACATTAGGTTCTTTAGTAGAGGCAGCATTGATATTGTTGTTAGTAGCTACATTAGGTTCTTTAGTAGAAGCAGCATTGATATTGTTGTGAGTAGCTTCATTAGATTCTTTTGCAGAAGCAGCGTTAATATTGTTGTGAGTAGCTTCAATATAGCTGATGCTGATGGTTTCTTTAGGTGTAACTGTTCTGTAAAAAATGAAAGCACAAAGTCAATACTTAATTGTAATTTTAAATAACTCCAGAACCATCATTTAGGTAATTGATTTTAAATTTGGTGTTTAATGATGCTAAGAAGGTTCAGAGTATTTTTTAATATTTACTCGTCTAAAACTCGACTTCTCCAATCCCTATCTCTCTACAGCCTGATGTTGTTAACCTTTGATATTTGAACTTTTACTATTAAATCTATCAGAGACCAAAATTAATGAATAACCAGCAATAGTTAAACTTTGAGTTGAATCATTTCTCTTCATCTTGAACCAGTGTACAAGAGAAAGGGGTTCAACAAAGGTTGTAATGCAAGGAAAGTTATTTCAGAGGTGTACGCATCTTTTGTACTGCAATGGACTGTCTCTGGGCGGTAATGTAAACATAAGACGGATGTCGAAGCCTGACATGGGATCCATCTTGAAAATAAAAAAATCAAAGAAATATTCTGGTCATAGGAAACTATTATGTGAATTATCAAAATTGTCAAAATTTAATTCTTTAACCTCCTTGGATACTGAACGAACACTGATGATGCATCTATTCTTATAAAACAAATTCCGCCCAGAGAGAACTGACTTTAATATGTACGTTGAGTATACGCAACTGCAATTTACTTTCCTTGCTTACACCCTTGGGTTCAAATAGATTCAACTATTCAAAAATCTGAATTCAGTTTTTTGAAATATCTAGTATCTACAGAGTACAGACTTCTTGATCAAGTTGCAAATATATAAGGATAAAACCATCATAGTTAAAAATATAAAGTTAAAGGAATAATATCAGAATAGGGTTTCAAGAGTACCAATATAAATCGGACATCTTTGCTTGGAGGGTCACTTGAAACCACTCTTATAGTCTCTTAAATGTTTTCCCTTTTTTGGCCAATAAAGAATGTTTACCTAAGTGGCCTCTCCTTATAATCTATTTATAAGTATATTTTATCAGTTATATGAATATTTGTAAATTATTGTATCAAAATGAATAATTTCTGGGATATTTAGGGTAAATATATTCATATTTTAACATAAACGCCCATGCCCTAAGGATGTTTTATTTTTAGATTTTTCAAAATAATAAATCTTTCCAGAAGTACAACTAGAGTTTTCAGCGAACGAAACGTTTCGCGAAAAAAAGCAAAAATTTTCGAAGCCATTTTGCAAACTTTTTTGCGAAAATTTTGCATGCGAAAATATTTTTACCTTTTATTTCATTTACAGTACTGTACACGTACAGTACACTCCTTTTATATTTGTTGCCAGCAAAAAGTTTATATCACCTAATTTATAGAAATATTAAGGGTCGAGAAAGTATTTTCAACCAAATCTATGAATTGTCTGATGTATCCTAGTCGTTCTTAAATCTATATTTAAATTTTCAATTTGGCTCGCGGATAAATTCCTTTTTTTGAAATGTGTCTTGTAATCTCAAAATTTAGTCTTTTGATGAATTTTAGCAACTTTTTTGCAAAATTTGTCATTTGTTTTTTAAAAAATCTGTATTTTTGCAAAAAGTTTCGTGTGTTTATTTTTGCATAATTTCCTTTTTTCCGCGAAATTTACGCATTTTTTCTCAAAATCAAAACTTAAATGTAAAAGTCGGCTTCCTATTCTCGAGTTGTATGATTCCACCTGAAGAGGCTGTAATATTTGTTTGCTTTGACTTTAGTAGAATTCATAGTTTAGAATATCAAAGGTTTACGACATTAGGTTCCAAAGATATGAGTAATCGACAAATCAAATAAATGATGCGAGTTAACAGTTCCTTCTTTCTAATTTGAAAATTATACAACAGTATCTCTAGTTTTTTTTTATTTAAGAAATTTTGAAGAAACCAGTAAAAAACGTTTAAAGTTTTAACTAAATTCTTGCCACATAAACTGATAAAAAGGTTAGAAAAGGGGCAAAACTTTCAACAACATATTTTTGACTTGATTTAATTTCTCAGAAACGTTAAGAATTAAAAGTGTCGAAGAGATAATTGTTTTTATCTATAATTTCTAAGCAATAAGATAGTAGGGGGGGGGGGGGCAATAATAAGATATTATATCAATCAGAAAGATTTGTGTTTTTTTTCCTTGTAGAATTTGCAGCAGAGTTGGTTGGAATGATGTTCACAAGCTTAGGAATGAGAAACCCGTTGTGTTGAGTCATTATATGCACAGATTGGTTTTCATCAAATCTCGTTCTTCCCACTTGTGAAGTTTTTAGAATAATTTTTTCCTCATCATTTTCTGGAAATCTATTTTCAGCGGAAGTCTTGTTGTTCAAAGTAGCATTCGTTGGATATTGCTCGTCAATATCTGATAAGTAAATATGTCGTTAATTTGGAAAATTAAAAAAAATAAGAGTTTAAATTAAACAGAGTTTTTTAAAATTTAAAGATTTCGATAAAATCTGCGAATTTTTTTCAATATTGGTCAACTACGCTTTAGCTTACAAAAGGAAGAAGTTTTTTCGATATTTTTGCATCATGCGTTTTAAGAATGTTACTCCTAATGATGAATTTTTTTGTTTTTTAGTTGCTGTAAATTTTCATGATAAAAATTTTATGAAAAAAGTGCAGAATGGATATACTACAGGGTGTCTCAAAAAACATGGGAATTCAGTGACGAATTGGATATCGTCTTTGTTATGAATTAGCATTGTTATACCTAATTTCAAAAGCCATAATATTATTATGTCTGCTAGAGTTTATTTTATGAAAAGGGTAAAAGACTGTAAAGATGTGTCAATAATGTATCCGCAAGATGAACAGTGAAGACGGAAAAGTTAACACTGTTTGTATACAGCAATTTTCTTGTTTACTAAGTACAATCGTATGCAGTCAAAACATAAACAAACAAAATGTGAACATAGCAGACGTAACTCTTACATATTACAGTAGGTATCACTAAACAAAATCAAAGAATTATTTGAAAAGACGATATCGAATTCGTCACTGAATTCCCATGTTTATTGGGACACCTTGTATAAACAGACTCTAAAGGAAAATTTATTAATGACATAATTCCTGGAATATTTGATGCGGTATCCATATTTTCAAGATCAACTACAACGATCATATTGATTATATCTTCAGGTGACTCTTCTTTCTCAGAGATCTTAGGACCAGTATCTGATCTTCTAGATACCCCGGTGTAGAGATCAGTCAAACCTGTTGAGAACTTGTCTAATTCATTTGAGGAATTATAAGCTGCTTCTGCAGAGAAATCAGCTGACAAAATGGGTAAATCAGCTGTTAAAGTGGGATTAGCTGATTGTGCAGAGAAATCAGATAAAAAAGTTGGATCAGCTGATTCTGTAGAGTTATCAGCTGATTCCGTGGAAAAATCCACTAAGCCTGAGTAGAAATTCGAAGATTCTGCGGAGAAACCCACTGATTCAGCTGAACCACTAGTTGAACCAGGGGAGAATTTTAAAACTGTATCAGCTGTTTCAAGATCATTACTTTCCAAGGTATCGTTGTCTTCCAAGAAGTCAAAGGAAACCCTGTCAAGGGCTGTTGGAGAGCTTGTAACATAATGTGTAACAGGAGTGGTTTTTATTACAATTATTGAACTGGAAGTAAAGGTTTCTTCTTCTGCTTTAAAAGTTGCTTCTCCTTTTTTTGTTGCTTGATCGTCCCCTATTGTAGCTCTAAGTGCTGTTGTTGTTGTTGTTGTTTTTGTTTTTACGGTTGTTGTTGTTGTTGTTGTTATTGTTGTTGTTGTTGTTGTTGTTTGGTTGTTTGTTAGTGGATTAGTAAGTGTTAGCTTGTACGATATCCTTCTAAACATAAGAGTATTCTTTCATGCAATCAATGAAAAATTTGAAGTTATTTTGTGAAACAATAAGTTTAACTAACTGCAGCGTACAGTTTAGATAGATAAACTTTTAAACTTTGCCATAAGAATTGATTTTCTTATTCCTGTATCTTTGCAACCCAATGGCGTAGATCTCAGATATTTTAAACTATAAATTCTGTAAGATCAGTTCATCTAAGTCTGAAATATAAAAGGTTTCAAAGATATAGGAATCAGAAGATTTTATTTTTAACAAAGACTCAGTTCCTTTAAAATTTTTTATGTAATTTAAATATGCATCGTAAAGAACATTTTATGAAAATTCAATTTGCATCGTTATACGTAGATAATATTTTTAATAATAATATGATAAAACATGAACAAATTAAATTGTTTCTATTCATAATCTTTTTTGTAATTTTGTAAATAAAAGAATATATGAATGCGTACAGGTAAGTTTTTCTTATACTTTTCATATTTTGGCGAAACCAATTTTCTAATCGTTCCTTAATTTGTGTGCTTGTGACAGCTTTATCTCTATTAATCGGCAATATTAGTTAGATATGAAAACAGGGGCGTAATTAAGGATTCTGTAGGGGGGGTCTGAATTTTTTTTACCATCCATAGAATTTTTTTACTCCCCCCCCCCCCTCTTGAAAAATATCATTATTTATATCATTTACTCCACTCATTTCTGGCATTTACAAACTCCATCAAACTCTTCACTTCATACTTTCAGCTTTCACCTTGTTGTATATCCTTCAATATAGTCATTAATTTTACATTAACTACAAAGATCTGAAAAAAATTTGAATTTATTTTAAGTAAGATAAAAACTAATAGTTTTACTCAAAGAGAAAAAGGATGTTACTTTTTTAATCCTTTAGAAAAGCTACTCTGCAAAACTTATAAAAAATATTGTCTCTGTATATATTCTTATTTCTAATTTCTAAAATTTTCTTCTCGTCAATGTAGTATGTTAAGATCTTAAATAAATCTAATATGGAAATGATATTATTAAGAAGTAAAATTGAATTTTTCATTGTCCATACCCTTTTTTCTATTAAAAAAAACATCTAATTGTAATGACCTTGATCGACTATTACTTTAGAAATTAGAATCATTTAGAATGTTTTGACTTAAAATCTGAAGTATCTGCACATTTTCGTGCAAATTTAAAAGATATTCAATTTTAAATCAAGTTTTTAAATTCTAGTGGGGGGGGACCCCCAGGATTCTAGGGGGGGGGGGGTAAATAACCCCAATAACCCCGCTTATTTACGCCACTGAATGAAAATCAAACCATTTCAGCGCTTTGTTGAAAAATTTATTTTTAAAACTTGTTTATCCACTTTTCTTATATATACTTTTCTATGCAAAAACTCGCTGAAAAAAGTGAAAATGTTCTGTTTGCAAGAGTATAAAATAAAATAAATTTTTATATTTTATTTTGTGGAATATTTAATAAAAGAATGAATGAATGAAAAATAATAGAATATGGATAGTTTGTATAGATACATTTTTTCAGTTACCACATACAGGGTTTCTCACAAAGCATGACAGTTGAGAGAGGACTTCAAAGTCGTCTTTGATCTTTGAAATAATTTGCGGCATTCGATCGTCAACCTAGTTTTATGACAAGGAAGACTACCTAGGCTTGGGATATTTTTTTCAGTTTAAGAATTTTTCTCTTAAAATGAGGGGTTTATATTAACGTTGTACTTCATTTCTAAGGTTAAAGACGACCCTCAAGTCGTGTCTGTAATATTTCGTAATTTCTGTCGGAGAAAAAACGGCGAAAATGCCAAAATTTGTCCTTTTTCGTATTTTATTTTCATCTTACCTTGAGTCTTTCAAGCATTCCTGGCTTTCAGGCCATTCACAAGTTTTATTCCTTAAACATAATAATGTTTTCTTGTTTATGGGTTAAAATAAAACACTTGTCCTATACTAAGAACACAATTTACTGCAACAAATCAAAATACACATTTTTTGAAAATATTTTATCCAGTTTTTAAATCACTGAATAGATAGATAGATAGATAAATAGATAGATAGATAGATAGATAGATAGATAGATAGATAGATAGATAGATGGATAGAAAGATAAATAGATAGATAGATAGATAGATATATAGATAGATAGATAGATAGATAGATAGATATAGATAGATAGATAGATAGATATAGATATAGATAGATAGATAGATAGATAAATACCTGGTACAGTCTGTAGTATCAGGGGTAAATATCTTCTCTGTATCAGGATGACAAATCAGTTCATCCTACGGTCAACAAATTTAGAACAATATAAAGGGACTGTAAACAATATTAAAGTTGCTCTTCACTTTTGCTTTAAGTTAACAACTGCAGTACCCTAATCACGATGTTGAATGAAATATCCATGTTTTTCTCTTTGACAATTACTTGCAGTTTCTGCTTCAGAAAATGTTTAGAATTTTACCTCTTTCTATCGAGGTTGAAAAATTAGGTTATTTCCTTTAATTTTTGTAATTATAAGAAAATAAATTAATTTTGCAAAATACAGATAATTCAGGGAGAGGAAAATATTGATAGCTATCGCTACAAAACTATTTTTACATAATTCTGCAGCAATAATCAATTTTCTTAACAATACCTTTAAAGAAATAAAATTCTAATTGTCAGGCCTGACCTGGTAAAATAAAGAAGGTGAACAGTAGTCCCAGGGTTTAGAATCTCGTTGACACCAGTAATATTCGTCTCCTCTTTTCCTAGACATAAAGTTTAGTATATGTTGTACAAAGTTTAGTATATGCTGTATAAAGTTTAGTATATGCTGTACAAAATTTATTATATGCTGTACAAAGTTTAGTAAATGCTGTACAAAATTTAGTATATGCTGTACAAAGTTTAGTATATGCTGTACAAAGTTTAGTATATGCTGTACAAAGTTTAGTATATGCTGTACAAAATTTCAAATATGCTGTACAAAATATAAAATATGTTGTACAAAAATTTCAAATATGCTATACGAAAATCTAAAATATGTTGTACATGCAAAACTTTCAAATGTGCTGTATGAAAATTTCAAATATCTTTTTCAAAAATTTCAATAACCCAGTACAAAAATTTTAATATGCTTCAAATGTATATCAATTTCAAATTGTATAACATTTGAAGTACAGGGTTACCCACAAATAATGAAATTTTAATGACAACCTTAATTCTGTGAAATATGATTATCTGAAGGCTATGATCCTTGAATAGTAAACCAAATAAAATAGGAAGGAAAGCAGCAAGATTAAAATTGCTGGGAATAATAAAATTAAGAAAGAAAACGTGACAAGTTTCATACAGTCGTCTTGTAAGTATTATCCTTAGTGGGCAACCCTTTACAATGTACAGGGTGTCCCGTGAAACATGACAGAAGCAAGACGAATATATAATTATACAATTAAGTGTGATGTGCTGCAGTCTGGTAGTTATAGCAGTTTTGAAAGTGCTGTAAAAATGAAGGAAAAAACTACCTGCACTTATCTTGACATTTTTCTCCGTAAGGTGTTGTGCCAGGGAGTGGTCCACACTTCTCAGAAGGTCCTCCTTTAAAATAAGATTAAGAAAATAAAGATAGAAAGATTGATACTGGCGCCTCTAGTGGTTCAAAGTGTAGTAAACTAGGTACACGTGTACTCCATATATCTCTATTAACAATACTAGCGCCTCTACTGGTGCAAAGTGTAACTGTAGTAAACTAGTGTAGTGTAGTTATCCGAGCTGACCGGACGTGTCTTTGTGAGCTCCCGGATTAAACTGACCGACAACCCAACACCGGGTTAACTTATTCAACACATGACTTATAGATTTAACATATAGAATATGTTCAGTGCTAAATCTTAAAATCTATTTAGTGCCACAATAAATAAGGAAATTTGTTAACTATTTAAAAATTCCCTTTGTTTTACGCCAGTTAATTCATGTTACGACGTGCATAAAAAATAAAGTAAAAATGGACTGTGATATTTAAGCAATTTGGATTCAATCTAATATAAAAAGTTGGCGTCCTTATATAGGAAATTACAAGATTTTTAGAAGAAATTAACTTTTTTAATTGACTCTTACAATAACGTTGTTCATTAAAGATCTTGAGTCACTCATTGATCAATTCAAAAGTTAATCTTCCAATCCGGCATAGTTTGGGGCCAGCCTGCATTGTACCTCCTGTAGTACACCAGTAGGTTCCATCACTAGCTGCAGTACACGGAGTAGAACACAGTGTACCGTACACACTCACAGCTGACGGAATACCTAAATATGTCAAGTTCAGGGTTTCTCAAAAAGTCTGAGGCTTGAATGACGACCTAAAACGCTAGAAACTTAAATTTCCCCTCCTTCTCTCACCATTTTCCCTTCTATTCCCTTCGTTTCCCTCCTTGTTTCACTCTTTTTCCTTCTTTTCCCTTCTTTCCCCTCCTTCTCTAACTATTTTCCCTTCTTTTCTTTTCCCTTCTTTCCCCTCCTTCTCTAACTATTTTCCCTTCTTTTCTTTTCCCTTCTTTCCCCTCCTTCTCTAACTATTCTTTTCCCTTCTTTCCCCTCCTTCTCTAACTATTTTCCCTTCTTTTCTTTTCCCTTCTTTCCCCTCCTTCTCTAACTATTTTCCCTTCTTTTCCCTCCTTCTCTAACTATTTTCACTTCTTTTCTTTTCCCTTCTTTCCCCTCCTTCTCTAACTATTTTCTCTTTTTTAGCTTTCCACTTCTTTCCCCTCCATCTCTAACTATTTTCACTTCTTTTCTTTTATTATCCCTTCTTTCCCCTCCTTCTCTCACTATTTTCACTTCTTTTCTTTTCTTTTCTCTTCTTTCCCCTCCTTCTCTCACCATTTTCACTTCTTTTCTTTTATTATCCCTTCTTTCCCCTCCTTCTCTCACTATTTTCCCTTCTTTTCTTTTCTTTTCCCTTCTTTCCCTTCCTTCTATCACCATTTTCACTTCCTTTCTTTTCCCTTCTTTCCCCTCCTTCTCTCACTATTTTCCCTTCTTTTCTTTTCTTTTCCCTTCTTTCCCCTCCTTCTCTCACCATTTTCACTTCTTTTCTTTTCTTTTCCCTTCTTTCCCCTCCTTCTCTCACTATGTTCCCTTCTTTTCTTTTCTTTTCCCTTCTTTCCCCTCCTTCTCTAACTATTTTCCCTTCTTTTCTTTACTTTTTCCTTCGTTTCCCTCCTTCTCTCACTATTTTCACTTCTTTTCTTTTCTTTTCCCTTCTTTACCCTCCTTCTCTAACTATTTTCCCTTCTTTTTTATTTTCCCTTTTTCCCCCTCCTTCTCTAACTATTTTCCCTTCTTTTCTTTTATTTTCCCTTCTTTCCCCTCCTTCTCTAACTATTTCCCCTCCTTCTCTAACTATTTTCCCTTCTTTTCCCTTCTTTTCCCTTCTATTTCCTGCTTTTCCATCCTTTTTCTACTTTTACCTCCTTCTTTCCCTTTTACTCCTTGTACTCTTTTTTTCTAACAATTTCGTTTACTTTTTATCCTTTTTGATACTTTATTCATGATTTCTCTTTTTACTATTTTACTTTCTTAAATCTTTTATCTTCTTTATCCTAAATTTCAAATATGATTACTTACTGTCAACTCTAGGAAAGGCTTTTCCACTTCCTTGATCTTTAAACACTAGTTGAGTTCCTGTCAAAGTTCCGCTCACTCCGACTCCAGTAATGGCAGACTCCTGCAAATTAAGAAAAAATATTATTGAAATCTTGATTAAAAAGAAAAGAAAATTCAAATGAGGTTCCGAGAAAAAAATTTAAAAAAACTAAGAATAAATATCTTTTATTTTTGAATTTTAAATTGGTTCATAGAAAAAAAAATTATTTTGAACCTATTTCCATGTTGGGGTACTAAATACAAAATCTGCAAAGTAGTTTGCAAAGAACCTGGAAAATCTTTCCTGGGATGTTTGGAAAGATGAAAATTTCCATGTATGATAATTGGAGGACTGCAGTATGGTTTAGGTGAATTATATTGACGTACAAAGCCTAGGGGTGTATTTTTTTGCACTTTTTTGAAAAAGTCTCAAAAACCTTAAAAAGTTTAATTTGTGATAAAACTTTTTGTTCTTGGTAATTGCATATATTTATATAAAACTTTCTTAAACCACATGTTTTTTTCTAAATTCACCCGGTAGTACCCAGCAATACCCAACAGTACCCCGCAGTACCCCACAGCATTATTCCACAGTATTCCTCAGTATCCTCTATTACTCCATCAGTGCACCCCAGTACCACCCAGTGCCCCCAAGTACCCAGTAGTACCCAGTAGTAACCAGCAGTACCATGCCTAGTACGTCAATATAATTCACCAAAATCATACTGCAGTCCTTTACTTAACATACATTGAAACTTTAATCTTTCTAATCATCCCAGGGAAAGTTTTTACAGGTTCTTTTCTTAGATTTATTTGCAAAATCCAAGGATAATATGAAAAATATAGAAAAATGTTAGCACGAAAAAAAATTGTGCTAACAAGATCGTTTTCCCAATATTTGAAAACGATTATTTCGTTTTTTCTTCGTAAAAACTTTCAAAACTTTGTATCGTCTCTTTCAAAAACAATAGTTTTCATAACGATCGTTTCGTTTCCAGATTTATTTATCGCCAACCGTTAAAGCCTTTTGTTTAGACCTAAGGAATAAGAAAAGGATAAATTAACCCCTCTAGGAGCACCCCTAAACTGAATGAATGTACAAAGGACACCCTATATCTGCTCTTGAAATATGGGAGCAGTCTCTTTCTAAAAAAATGAATGCCTTGGGTTGAGCATAAAGATGTCAAGTATTTAATAATGGAAAACTCTGGAAATTGGAAGCTTAAGAAGCTTACATGAGCTTCATATTTATACAGGATGATGCAGAAATAGAATATCTAGGAATCAGATTTTTATCCTTGCATAATGCACAGGGTGTCAAACCTCCTCCCCCCCCCCCCCCCCAAAAAAAAGGAATGCTTATCTAAACCGAAGAAACTAATTTTGGCTGTAGTTTACACACTTTACGGTGCTTCCTGTTTCACACTGAACTGGAGAAAGGTTAATTTTATGCTAAATTACTGGTACGACTGTGAGACCTCGTAGCTCTTCTAAATTTTATTTTACTCTAAAGTATGAGAGAAGTTAATTTATCCCGCTGCACATTATAGTTCTTCTCAATACTTCAATAAGAGAAGCTACTAATAGGATTGAAAACACTTAGTTAAAAGTAATGTTTACACACATGTTTCTGTGACTATTAAGATCTATGTATTTATTAATCTATGTATATGACCTGTATTCCGTGGTTGAAAGTGAGGTTTCTCTGACTATCATGATGAATGATCTGAATGTGCTCTCCAGTAATGATGAGAGTATAATTGTATTCCTTGTTCTCCACTACAACGGCTCTAAAACAATTAATAAGAATGAAAAACAAATAACGTCCCTACGACGGTGCGACAACATCTATGACGTCAGAAGTAAAAAAGGTCGCCATTACGTCATCAAATTTGCGTTTTATGTCATTGTAAAGTGCTAGTGACTGAGAAGATGGCATAAGACCTTTATTTTTTAATTTTACTTTTTTTTGGGTTAACAAACAAGAAATTAAATGATATGCATTTTAGTAAAATAATTTGGTGTTCATACACTATCTAAATATGTTTCTGTGTTTTTTTAAGTTTCCCTTCTTTAGTTTAGTTTAGTTTAGTTTAGTTTAGTTTAGTTTAGTTTAGTTTAGTTTAGTTTAGTTTAGTTTAGTTTAGTTTAGTTTAGTTTAGTTTAGTTTAGTTTAGTTTAGTTTAGTTTAGTTTAGTTTAGTTTAGTTTAGTTTAGTTTAGTTTAGCTTATTTTAATTTAGTTTAGTTTATACCTGTTCTGTTCGTTTCCTAGAAGAATATCGATATCCACCTCTCCTCCAGGGCCCTTGGATATCCTGTATTTATGTTCTCTTATATCCCCTTCAGACAGGGATATCTCAACATCACCGTTCCCATTCACCTAGATACAGTTGGATACAGGGAAACAACTGGATACAGGGATACAGGGATACAGGGAACAGCTGGATAAAGGGATACAGCTGGATACAGGGATACAGCTGGATACAGGGATACAGCTGGAAACAGGAATACAGCTGGATACAGGGATACAGCTGGATACAGGGATTCAGCTGGATACAGGGATACAGCTGGATACAGGGATACAGGGATACAGAGATACAAGGATACAGGGATACAGCTGGCCAGGGATACAGCTCGATACAGGGATACAAGTATACAGGGATACAGGGATACAGCTGAATGAAAGGATACAACTGGATACAGGGATACAGGGATACAGGGATACAGGGATACAGGGATACGGGGATACAGGGATACAGGTATACAGGGATACAGGTATACAGGTACACAGGGATAGAAGGATACAGGGCTACAGGGATACATGGATACAGGGATAAAGGGATACAGGGATACAGAGATACAGGGATACAGGGATACAGGGATACAGGAATACAGGGATACATGGATACAGAACTAAAAAGATACATGGACCAATCATGAAAACTGGAATCTGTTTTTGAAACTAAAATGAAACGTCGCAATAAAAATTAATTTGTTTTTGAAATTTGTTTGTTCAAGAAAGTATTGATTATTTTCAAGAAATTCATTAAAAACTACTGGCTTATCTTTTCTTATTTTTACTTTCGAAGAAACAGTAAACAAATAATTATAAGTCGAAGAAAATAAAAATGATAAAATATTCAATAAAACTTTTTTAATCAACGACTGATTCATTAAAGGTAAATAACCCTTTAAGGACTCTTCGTGTTCCTCTATTTCTTGTTGGAACAAAACATTTTTTAAGTTGTTTTAAATCACCTGAATGTCGTCGCTTGCCACTGGATTATACTGAGGTTCAAGTCTAGATAAAGTATCGTCCTCTCTAATAAAACAAATTATATAAAAATGTTTTTTTCTTTATTTTTAATCTTACATTGTTTCCGATGTTTCAGTTGTAAGGATTTGTTCTGCTGTTGAACTTCTTACAGGAGTTGTTGTTGTGGTTGTTGTAGTAGTTGTTGTTGTAGTAGTTGTTGTCGTTGTTGTTGTTGTTTCCAATAGTCTTGGAGTTTTGTCTTAGAACAGAGAAACTATTTTTAGGAATTAATTGATAAATAAATTCGACACTCTACAGTCCTTTTATATGTATTTAATTTTAATTAATGTATTTGAAAACTCTAAATTCGAATTCCTATATCTTTGGATCCTGGTTGTGTAAACTTTTATAGTAGAATTCATAATTTGAATCATCAAAGGTCTAATAATGATGTCAGGTACTTTCCCAACGGCTTTATCCCAAGCAGCAATTTCCCAAGGGTATTTTCCCAAGCGGCAACTTCTTAAGTCTGTCCTAACTGCAGCGCTCGACCCCCTAGCACATTCTAGGCAAAGCGCTCGACCCAATTTAGGCCTAGCCTAACCATTAGGAAGTTGCCGCTTGTCAAGTTGTACAATTGGGAAGTTGCCACTTGGGAAAATATCAATGAGAAAATACCTAACAAACTAATTATGCATGAGGTTGCAAAGATATATGAATTAAAGTGCAAGGAGAGCATACAAACTCTTTTAAACATTCTATTAAAAATATAAAATATAAAAATGGCCGCCTAGTGCCTAGTCCAGGAGGAGGGGAAGGTTCCAGCACAATTTCAGTCACAAACTCTTCTCCCATGAAGTTTCTGAAACATATTTCAGAGAAAGTTGTATCGTCCCTTCAATCCCATTCTTATTGATACAACTTGTAAGTTGTACTCACCCAGCTTGACGTTGAGGAATATCTATGTCATATTTAAATCTTGGAAGCATTCCTGTAGTTTCTAGATCTCCTATAACCTCTGAAACAATAATATTCTAGTTTCTAGATCTCCTATAACCTCTGAAACAATAATATTCTAGTTTCTAGATCTCCTATAACCTCTGAAACAATAATATTCTAGTTTCTAGATCTTCTATAACCTCTGAAACAATAATATTCTAGTTTCTAGATCTCCTATAACCTCTGAAACAATAATATTCTACTTTCTAGGTCTCCTATAACCTCTGAAACAATAATATTCTAGTTTCTAGATCTCCTATAACCTCTGAAACATTAATATTCTAGTTTATAGATATCCTATAACCTCTGAAACAATAATATTCTAGTTTCTAGATCTCCTATAACCTCTGAAACAATAATATTCTAGTTTCTAGATCTCCTATAACCTCTGAAACATTAATATTCTAGTTTCTAGATCTCCTATAACCTCTGAAACAATAATATTCTAGTTTCTAGATCTCCTTTTAACTCTGAAACAATATTCTAAATTCTAGATCTCCTATAACCTTTAAAACAATAATATTCAAAAGAACTGAACTCTTCACTCAAGCATTTTTTTCATTTTTTTAACTTCAACTCTTCTACCTGATGTTGGTAACATTCAATATTTCTAAACAGAAACTATAAATCTACCAGTCTAAGTTTGCCATATCATTGGTCACCCCAGACTAACCAGAGAGAGCTAGAAGCATTCGGTTTCTTCTATTTAAAATTAAACGTGTTTTGGTCTATACTTTAACAATCTTAAAACTTACAGATTTATTTATTTTATACTTTTTCATTCAAAACGTTTATGCCGACATAAAAGTATTTAAGCAAAAAACAAACAAATTATGTTTAATGGGTCAAATTGTGATCAAAAGTCATATCTTTCTGAACTATTGACAAAACCGTTAAATCCACGTGTGTTTACACCATTAGGTTGCAAAGATGTATAGGGACCAGATAATTAGAGCTTGTAGCACGTGTTCAGTTTAAGTTTTAAAATAAGCTAATTTGTTGAAAACTTTTTTTATTTTATTTTTATTTTTTACCTAAATCACGTACACCATCTCGTCCAAAATCATAATCAAGATCATACATCAAACCGTCAACGCTTAAAAAAATATACAAACAAAGATTCTCAGATTATCAACAAGTTTAACTATGAATTTAAATCTTTTTTGTTTACTAGCTTGGGAACCCGATTATATGTTTTAAATAACCATGCATAATGTAAAGTCGGTAATGTTACATCGTCTATACGCAACATCCCCCCTACTGAACTTCTGACCTACTAACTATCGGACCTACTGCAATATCAAAACTACGCCAGCTGTTTATTTTTGTATTATTTGACGGTTAGGTTAGGTTCAGACAAAATCTGGGCCGAGCGCCGCGGCTAACAGAGGCTAGGGACCTTGCGCTGCGGCCACAAGTCCATTTAGCAGCTGTAAAACCACGTGTTAGGAGGTCTGATGTGTAGTATAGCGGATTTTAAGCAGGTCAGAAGTGAAGTATAGCAGATTTGCGGAACATACTGCAGTTCTGTTCATGTTCACATTTCAATTTAAAGATGAAACGTCTGCAACTACGCTTGCAAATTATTTTGATCAGATCTTAATTAATGGAGAGCTCTGCGAAAAGCAGCTCGGTACGGCAATAGGTAGAACGAGACGTTTTTCTCTATGATTCTATAAATGAAAAATACTATTGTCAATTTTTTTGTATTGAATAAAGTTGTTAAGAAGAAGAAGATTTGCGTAAGTAAAAAAATACACCACCTGTAAAGTAATCACACTTCAAAGTCGTCTTTGACCTTAGAAATAGTTTGCGGCATTCAACATTGGTAACATGATTTTAGAAATATTTTTTTTTATGAAACAATAATCACGGAATAGTCCTAGTCCTAGTCCTAGTCCTAGTCCTAGTCCTAGTTCTAGTCCTAGTCCTAGTCCTAGTCCTAGTCCTAGTCCTAGTCCTAGTCCTAGTCCTAGTCCTAGTCCTAGTCCTAGTCCTAGTCCTAGTCCTGGTCCTAGTCCTAGTCCTAGTCCTAGTCCTAGTCCTAGTCCTAGTCCTAGTCCATTATTGTGCTTTCATAATTACCGAGGATATGAATGGTTTTGTTCAGAACGAGACATTTTTATGTTTTTTTTCAGTTCATTTTAATAAATTAGAATTTAAACAAAATTTTTATTTTATCTTTGGTATTTTTTAGAGTAAAAAATTGAAGGCCACATTTTGGAAATGGAAGAATAAGGACTATTTAGAATGGAATATCCTTAATCCCGATCGGTTAATTAATTATGAGATTAATAACAAGAGAAGAACAAGCATTATATAATCTGGAGATTAGGAAAAGAGTGGATCAAGCATTAATCCCGAGTTCCTCCAGGTTACCTAAACTGAATGCCGCAAGCTAATTCTAAGGTCAAAGACGACTTTTAAGTCATCACTCAAAATTTTTCCGGGTTACTTAGCATATCATTGTACTTAATCTTTTTGTGAAAAGAAATCTGGTATTTTTGTAAATTAATTTTACCTGATACTTATAGAGTCGCAGTTTACATTTGTAGTCAATATCAGGGGAGGAATATTCACAGTCCCGCCTAGTCCCTAGATTGTCGTAAATGCAGGGGAGAAAAGTTCCATTATATGATTTGGCCAAAATCTGACTGTAAGTTATTGCGCATAATAATATCCAAATACGCAAATCAAGATCGTCTTTCTTTGACTGAACACAACGGAGTCTTTTATCCAGGTTTGATTGTCATGCAAAATGTTAAAGGGACTGTAGACGTATTTCAAGAGAACCTCCTTTAAACATGAGACATGTTTGATTTACAACGGTACCGCTTAAGCCTATCTGAATATCATTGAGGAAGATATTGCCGTTTTCCATTTGCATAAAATATCTCATTCAAAAAGTATTAAGGGTCTAACCATAGATTAATCAAAATAACAGATTGCACACTTGATGTCGTCTTTTCAAGATTTCTGTGTGTTTTGTTCCCAATAACCCTGAGGCAGAAGCCCAAAGTAGTTACGTGTAGTCGGCGTAGAACATTTATTTTGTGAATCGGATATGCCAATGTATAAACTGAGGGTTCCTTGAAATTATGTATATTGTCCATTTAAATATGTGCCAAAAGCCAATCTATGTATAAAATGAGGGTTCCTTGAAATTCTGTATATTGTCCGTATAAGGCGTAAAACCTACCTCCTCGTCTTGAGAAAGCATTCTTGCCTTCAGTATAACTTGATCCTTGTATCTCTCAGCCTGCCATAAATATTATCATCTCCCTCATGCTTTTTTTTTGCTTTCAAAAACCAAATTTTTCATAAAAGATAAAGACGAAAACCATCTGAACAAATATGTATATATCAATTAAGAATTTACTTGGCTTGACTTTTTTCCACTTTGAACTAAAATTTGTATACTTCATGAGAAATATTATAGTTTCCATTTAGTGCAGAGGGGATCATTTAATCTGTCATGAAGGGGACATCTTTTTATTTGTTTGTATTGACTTTACTAAATAGATGTCTTGTTTTTAGAACTTTTAAAGATGTTTCTTCCACAATTTGTTTCCACACAATTAAACGTTTCTCAGCGTAATGCAACAAAAGTATTTTTTCTATCTTATTCTTCATAAGTATATAGGTTTTCTGAAAGCAATGATTTGATCTAACAGAATAGTTTGAAATATCTAGATCTACCACATTGGATTGCAAAGATATAGGGATTGATAAATCAGAGGTTTTGGGAAAGACTTTGACAAACAAATTACGAGCTTCAGTTTAAGAAATATTTTAAGTCAACAATTTTATGACGAAAAAATATTATGGTCTATAAAATTCTGTAAGTGCTCCATTTTTATAAAGCTTGAATGAGAATATATTTCCTGAATATAGAGTTTCATCTCTTTACTGCTGGTTGTATACCTAGGGTAGGAAGTGAATATTAATGTATTATATAATAACATGAATATAGAGTTTCATCTCTTTACTGCTGGTTGTATACCTAGGGTAGGAAGTGAATATTAATGTATTATATAATAACATGAATAAATTATTAATGTAAAATAATACACAAACATAATACACTGACTTTACTGCTTGTTGTATACCTAGGGTAGGAAGTGAATATTAATGTATTATATAATAACATGAATAAATTATTAATGTAAAATAATACAAAAACATGATACACAGACTTTTAAAACAAATGAAGTAATCACTTACTTTAGAAGAACTTCGTCCTTTGCTTTGAACTTGATTATTCTGGAACAAAAGGTTGTTTGTTTGTGAGGTGTACTGCCCTTGTTCGGTGTACCAGCTGGTCTTGGTGTATCGGCCGGTCTTGGTGTACCGGTGAGGGATGGTGTACTGTACATTTCCTCTGGCCTATTGCAGTAAAATTGAGTGGACAAACACCCAAAGAGAATAGAATATATATTAGAGGGGAATTTAGAGAATCTCTCGGTATGAATTTTTTCAGTCCCTTTCAGCCTGAAAGGGAGTTAAAAGTGTATATTTCATGTAAATATTCACAAATTATATGCAGTAGAGTACATTAATACAGTAGGTTCCTTAGACTATCCATTTCAATTTCGAATTTTTTAAAACTGTTAAATAAACTTTACAATGAATTTGGTGAATAAAAAACATCATTTGATTTATAGTTACAACGGAAAATCATGTCGTTTGTAAAGTGAAAGGCATAGAGTCTATGTGAAATGATCATTGGTTAATTTGGTTTTCTTTTAATATTAATTTTAGATTTTCTATAAAATGATATTCCAGGGCCCAAAAGGTTACATAGAACAAATATGTGAAGTACACCTGCAGTATGGAAACAGTACAACAAAATGGCCGTTTAACACTTTTTTCTAGTAAATTCCCCTCTAGTATATATTCTATTCTCTTTGCAAACACCGTTATCCAGAATTATTTCGGTATTTTTTCATGCATCTTTGCAATTTTATTTAGACTTTGCTTTAAAAAATATCCATATCAACTTGATAGAATTTAGCGTTACAAGTCACAATTTGATAGAATCTTGAAAAACTTCGGCACAATCTCAGAATTTTGTTAGTGATGCTTTATCGGTACGATAGAATCAAGATTTAAGGATATAGAACAATAGCAATTGTAAAAGGTTTTAATTGAGCAGACAAACGTACTATTATTATAAATTTTATGCAGGATTGTATATTTTTAAGAATTCCACCCCTGGAAGATGATTTTTGATATTATTAGGGATAAATGGAAAATAGGAGATGAAAAAACAACGTTTTAACCTCTTTTTTTATTTTTGTTTTTTATTTAAAATTTAATACGATACAGTTTCTTCCCCCTCCCGAAAAAAAAACATAAGTGATCAACTGTTTTGTATAAAAAATCTAAAGATTAAAGTGACTGTAAAGGAAAATGAAAGGAGGTATAGGATAAAACCTGAGAAACCTAAAAATCTCAGGTTTTTATAGATACCTTTAAGACATCAATATTATGTTTTTTGTCTCGAGAAATTGACATTAAACTGTGTCAAAATTATACCAAAACGGACATATGTCAGATTTTGTATAAAAGTAGTAGCATTATAAACAGATCATATTATACAATTACGCAACCACGCTGAAAACGATTATATCCCACAGGAGCCTGAGAATCTCAGATTTGTTCATATTATAATTTTTTTTGCATTATTAATAGATATATCTATAAAAAATGCAAAATAAAAATTAAATAATTATAACAGATTTTCAGAATGCTAAGATATAGCCTTTTCAAATTGATTGCATAATTGTTGAGTATGATCTGCTTAATACTACAACTTTTATACAAATTCTGACATATGTCCTTTTTGGTATAATTTTGACACCGTTTTATATCTATTTCTCGAAGCTAGAACATATGGTATCGTTCAAAACCTGAGATTCTCAGATTTAATCCTATACCCCCTTTTATATTTCCTTTACAGTCTCTTTAACCTCTATTTTCATTCATTTTTACATATCGAATTTTCAAAAAAAATTGTTGTTTTTTTTTCAAAAAAAAATATTTACCCCTTGAATAATGATTATATATTTCATATATTTTTTCAATTTGACGAGGACAAATTAAGCTGTATAATTTCTCTAAATTGAACAAAACGTTTTAACACGTATTGTGTAACCGTAGCCATATTTAATAAATAACACTCACAATCAATGGTTTTTAAGAACATTATTTTCTTTCTCAATGTGTTCCCAGGATTGATGTAATTTTATATCACAGTTTAAAGGGATTGTAGGTGTAAATTCAAGTGAACATCTATTTAAAGATGGTATGTTCTAAACAGAGTAACAATTTTTTCAGTTTTTCTTAATAAAAATTGGTTCATTTAACTTCCTTCACTGTTTCTGCGTCTATTAATAGAGAGGATCAGTTAAAATTATGTGCATCGCCCCTTTAAATACAGGAAACCATCATAAATCTCTGATAAAATAAACAGAATCCAAACTCCATTTTACAAAAATAAATCAGTTCTTAATATCTATGGGCCTAATATCACGTGACCCTCCATGCAAAGATGGCAGATCTAGTGCAGGAAAAGAAATGGAATTATTGGACTATCAATATTAATATTATTATATAAATCTAGAAAAAAATTAAAGATAAAGGGTTCAAGGGTACCGTTGTGAATCACGGATTGCCATCTTTGTATGGAGGGTCACGTGATATCAGGCCCACAGTCCCTTTAAGTGTATCTGCGCCTAAAGCTTGATGATATCAAAAAGAAAAAAAGAGAAAATAAGATTTAATCAACAACTTTCGATAAATAGATAAATCAAAAATCAAATTAATAACTTAATCTTTGATGAAAAAGATGATTTTTATGTTGGATCCGGCTGAAAGGGGGGGAGGACGGTTGGGAGGGAAGGTCAATGTTATTTTTGTCCTTTTCTGATTATTTTGATTTAAGTTTAGGATTTTTTTCAATTAAATTTTACTGGTTCCTTGTATTCTGGTGGTTGCTGTATGAACTCTGAGTGTAGAGTAAGGTGGGAGTAGTGTAGCTAGTAGATCCAAAAATCTGACCTAAAAACGGAAATGTTCATTATAGAAAAACTCCAATTTAACGTTATGAAAATTATAAAAAAATTCGCGTAAACGTGAAATTTCATTTTATTCAACTCATTTTATTCAACTCATTTTATTTAACTCATTTTATTCAACTCATTTTATTCAGCTCATTTTATTCAACTCATTTTATTCAAATCATTTTATTTAACTCATTTTATTCAACTTGTTTTATTTAGGAGCAATGCTTTGAATTTCTAATAGTAACTAGATAAATTTGCTTATACTTTCTTCTTCTGGCTAATTAAAAGTGAAAAAAGTTTGGTCCTTTTGAAAAATTCAGTGAATTATTTATCAAACATGTAGATTGTACACCAGTTAACACCTTTATTTTATCAATAATGTGGAAGATATTTTCGTTTTGTTGGATTGAAAGTTTTAATTGTATCAGAGCAAAATAATTAGGATTTTAGCAGAAAAGCATTTTTTTTCAGATGAAAAATAAAAATTCCCCGAGATTCTAATGATTTGAAATTCGGCGATGTTGAGGGACCATACCTCTGTAGAGTAAATAAAGTAAATGTTAGTTCCACATTTTATTAAAAATATAATTCGGTCTTGGTTGACCCTCGTCAATTCTAACGATATAATACCCATCAAAATCTTTAAAAATATATATTAAAAACCACAAGAAAATTTATAAACAAAACAGATTATTTAAAAAAAAATTGACCGTCAAGTGGACAACAGAGATGGGAGCTCATATCATGATCATGGATAAAGATAATTTGAAAATATTCACTTTTTAAACAATGTTTTAAGACAATTATTATTCCTTGAGATTGTTTCTGCAGTTATGAAGATTAAAAACAAACTGTTTATATGTATGAGTAAAACAGGGGGGGGGCTTGTTTAAGATGGGATAAACCTTTAAAGGGAGTGACCGGCTATGTAAGGTAGGTGAACTAAGTACGCAGTGTTGTGGAAAACTTCTTTCGGATTCATTTGAGACATATTTCACTTTTAAAGATCTGTAAATCCTTAGTTTGAGCGCAAATTCGACGTTCAAAACTCCTACTTTGGGGGTGGATACGTTTTTCGAAGTAGTTTTTTTAATTATAAAATAACGACGACATAAAATGCAAAAAAAATCTACAGTAAACTAATCAGTTGTTTAGGAACAAGTTGAGAAAATAAAAATTAATCTTATCATCGAAAATAAGTAATCTTGTTCAATTATGTCTTTCTATTTTCTCACTATTCTGGTTTCTCATTATTCAAAGATTTTCCGCAGATTTTCTGGAATCATTATTGAAAAGACGACAATTAAAGAATTTAAAGAAATCTGCGAATAAATTAAAAAAAACCAAGAAATTCAAAATAATAATGAAAACGAAATAATTGATTCTAGCATTGATTTATTGACAAATTTCTTTTGAGAAATATGTTCCTAACCATCTAATTAGATTACTGTATAATTTTTACTTTATTTTTCGTTGTCGTTATTTAATAATTTAAAATAACCGATCCTGAAAACATATAAACCCCCGAAGTAGGATTTTTGAGTGTCGAATTTGCGCTCAAACTCAGGATTTACAAATCTTTAAAAAGTGAAATATGTTTCAAATGAATCCGAAAGCAGTTTTCCACAACACTGCATACTCAGTTCAACTACCTTACATACCCGGTCACTCCCTTTAATCCTTTGTAATAATTATTTATTTACTTAATTAATGAGTGAATGGAGAGAGATTAGTCAATTTTACTTATCAATTATACAGTCCAAAGTAAATATTACAGAGTTTAAATGAATTTTAGAGCCAAGCATAAATAAAGAAATTATTGATAAAAAAATATTTTTTTTAAATTTTAATTTCAATATTTTGGTTAATGGCCTTAGAATTGATTTTTTTTCATATCCTTGCATTTAAAGAAAAATTTTAAATTCAGAATAAGCAAAAACTTGATATTTTTAGCCAAATATCTTATTATTAAAAAAAATTAAAACATTGCCCATCTTTAGCACTCCCGCGTACTTCTAATGATCAGTTATCAGTGATCACTGTCTCATAGAAAAAGGTAAACACAGTTTAGAATTTCGTCACCAATTATGAGATTGAATAAATTAAAAAAGAAGATAAATTACATAAAATGTTGTTTATATAAAACACTGTTTCAAAGACTGTTCTTACAGATACAAAAACTTTATGGAAATAATTACAAAACCTGGCACAAACAATTCTTATTAATATGTAAAATATAAATACGAAAAATGATAAATGATAAAATGTTATAACTAGCTTTGAGAATGGGTGAAGAGACCCCCCCCCCC